TTGCCCTCCCCCGTGCTTATTGAATGCGCTCACAACGGCCTACAGTAAGCAAAAATGAAACAATTCGTAAAATCTGACCTCTTACTGTGTCCAAACAGGCACTTCTTTAAATCAAAAAATGTTTCGCGCCGAGCTGAATCGAATGGTGGCCTTGGATTAAGAATTCGTCCTCTCTAAAGCGAGGTATGGCCACGCTACGGTGATGTCACATGAATCGGGCGACTGTGCGTCGTCTTTTCAAAGATATGGGGGGGGGGGGGGGATTTCATAGAGATTCAGACCTTAAAAAGGTAATCGATATGGTCAAGAAAAGCTGACTTTTTGTTAAAGTTTCGTCTATCCCCTAAACAACACAGCGTTGAGAAAATGATAGAATGCAATATTCATAATTCCCGTTGAAATGAAAGGAAAGTATTATAGAACACTATGGTAAGAGATGAGGTACAGCAGATGCAACCTGATCTTCCTAAATCGATCAAGCAAAAAAAAAAACTTGGCGAGCTGCAAAACAAAAAAATCCAAGTTCCACACCTTAGATAGTTTCTGTATTTCAACGCTGCAGAGTTATCTCACAGTCCACATGGACCATTCATAGATAATCCAACTTTTCAGCATTAAAGTCAGTGAATTTATCAAGTCATGACCAGGGCTCGGCACGAGGTGGCTTATCGAAACTGCAAAAAACGAAGTCCCCTTTGATTTCACTATGAAAGTACGACATCCGTCATGAGATATTAGAAAGGAAAGCACATACATGAGAAGGAGCGGAACAAAGCAAAACGAAAAAAAAACGCCAAAGAAGCATCAAAAACGCACCCGGAGCAGCTTGCCGCCGCCATTCAAAATTTCCAGGGGGCTGTAACTAAGGGGGAGGAGGGGGTTTGAGGCAGTTTAGGAACCAGTTTGTAGGGTTTGGAATGTACATGAGATTTATGTAAAGAAAGTAAGAAAATTATGTGAGGGAGGGAAAATTTATGGCTTTTTCTTTCTCAAGCCACCTCAAGTGGCTTCCAAGTGGCTTGAAAGCCACCTGAAAAAAGTTGCGCACGCCTTCAGTTCACATAATTTTTTCATAATTTTTCATGCATAGTCCTAACTCCTCATTGTCCATCTACACACCAATTTTGGTGTCATTTCATTCTCACTTTGTTATAAACAAACCTTCTGTTTGTTTGAGAGAGCATGCCGCCGGAATGCCGGCAGCGCGGGCGGCACACGGACAGCAAAAACGATATCTTCTTTGCATTCCCTTCTAAAAACGATATATAGCTTGCTTGGTAAGCCACCTGTGCCGGGCCCTGGTCATGACGTCCGTGAAATAGGATGGTCATACATATGCAGATGGCTCTTATCAAATTTACTGATTGAATAACTGACAATCACCTACAGAAACGCTTGATTAATTAAAGCACAAAGGAGTCGATTTCTGAAAACAAAAAAGAATTTGAATATCACTATGTTTCTCCACATTCATCATAAGAAATATATGATGAGCATTTCAAAACATCGTTCTCGTTGGTCTTGCCCTCCTCTTTTTCAAACGTTTATAAAGAAATGTCCGTTACCTGGCGAAGATGATTGCACTGACACTCTTTGACCAGTCATACTACAACTAAAGGATAGAGTCCAGTCCAGAAGTCCATGATCCTTCTTTGGAATGAAGATGCATGAAGGAGATTACACAGCTTAAACTTCAGGCTTCAGCACAAGACAAAACTTGAAAAAGGGCAAGAGGCTAGCTGAGATTGATATCCGAGCCAGAAATAAGAAGGCCTCAGATCGTAAAGGCTGGCCAAAATTAGGTTTGAATGCAAGTTGATTTAGCTTTTCTGACGACGTACTTACTATCTCTCGATAGAAATAGAATAATGATAAGCGACTGAAGATACAAGGACAGAAAAAAAAGAAAATATAAGGAATGTTGACGAAGGCAAACGGCACCACAACAATGACACGGCAGATTCGATCACGAATCGCTGCGAAAAGTGCTAATTGCATGATTTCGAAAAAATTTCGATTTTTCGACATTCACAACGGCGATGCACAAGTGTTTTCAACAATATGTCACAGAAAGTCTTCTTGTGGTTGATTGTCACCTACGAGTAACCGGAATTGAAGTGACGACGAGAATCGTCGGTAACATCTATTATACAAGGCCTTGGAAGCCTTGTCTGGCCAATGCACCGCCAAAGAATAATGCAGTTTCGAAGACTGAAGTGAAGGTTTTACGAAATTTAGCGTGAGACTTCTCTGATAAGAATAAAAATCGCTAAGTCTTAGTAAGACAGAAAATTAGAGCCAGAAAAGGAGATAGAATAGGTGAAAAAAAAAGAGAAGAATTGGGGTTTACTTTTATAGCTTTATGCATTGTTATACTAATTTTTCATGCCACAAATTAATCAAACTATTACTTTGCAACTTGTCTTAGACTGCCAATTTTGCAAGTATATTTTGTGCATTAATGACATTAGCAAATTTTTGGAATATATTTCCAAAAATTATGAATTCGGCCATGACATATGAATGCGAAGATGACTAACGGAGTTCTTCTGAATGTCAGCGCCGACCTCGATATGCATTGGCCTCGTTGCCTAATTATCAATGAGCTGTAGCCGTTCCACACAAGACTTTTTTTCCACTTTTGTGAAGGACGCCGTCTGGATTATTTCTCGTAACCTCTCAAACTAGTCATCTTCCTATGATCGATTGATAACCAGACTGATTAACAATTAAGAAACTCACAATCAGCACCGAGCAGAAAAGAGTCTTATGTCTTATGTACTAAATTCAAAGTGATTCAGTCATCAAACAATGAATTTTACTTCTATGGTTTGACAGGAGTGAGCAATGATAAAAAAACACATGCGTTTGAAGTACAATATTCAAGGGCTCAAAAACAGCAAAAACCTCCTTTACGATCTGAACGATTTTTTATAGTTGAATTTTTGCAGCAATTCCGATGCCTTTTTCGCTCACATATGCTTGATTGATAGATAAATAAATAGATTTCAGTATTGTGATAGATTCACAGAGGAGATTGGGATCTGTTCGGCTTAAACAAAATCGGATTTTCTGTGCAAAGTAGAAGTGTTGCCAAAATGAAGTTCACTAACAATAAGAAACGTAGTTTTAGAAAGAGACAAAAATCGTATATACTACTAAATAACTCAGGACCCGTTCCGTAATTTTACTGAGACAAAATTTGACTTAATCTCTATTTTCCCACATTTTAAGAATGTACTAGCTTGCTTACCCGGCTCCGCTCGGCCCTGTCAAAACACTGTAATAAAGGTCCCATCCCTATAACTGCACAGCCTTTCCCTGTGCCCACTTCTACACTTCATTTCCCGTTCCCTGTGTTGTTTTCGAAATCAGCATGCCTACTTACCCCCCCCCCCTGTGCCAACTCCGGCCCTGTAGCTCAAGCTTTGCAAAAAAATCGATAAATCGATAAAACTAATAGATAGTTCTGAAAACCAATATTGTATTCGGAATCGCAATGCTCACCTACCCCCCTGTGCCAACTCCCAGCCCTGTAGCTCAAACTTTGCAAAAAATCGACAAAAATCGATAAAATCGATATCGATCGGTAGCGAAAAGTAGCCTATGACACGCTCCCTGCACCGAAGTATATGTGTGCCAAGTTTGGTCCAAATCGGTTTAGAAATAAAAATTTCTATTCCGCACCGTAAGACATACATACATACATACATACATACATACATACATACATACGTACATACATACATACAGACATTCAGCTTTATATATAAGATATCACAAAATCTTTTTTGAAGCAGCAGGACCAGAAAGTTTTATTGCAAAATTATGAGGCTATCTCAGCTATTGACAAAATTATACATGCCTATTTTTTTTGCAACACAAGATAATTATATCAGATTTTTTTCACGAGCACCTCGAGTGTAAAAATAAAAAACAAAATAAAATCTTGACTTATTAGGTTGTCCCGAAAGTTTTGTCGGTTTTTTCAAACCGCTATAAAACTATGCACAATGAAGATCTGAATGAGTTTCAACATGCATTCGATGCAGCTTTTCCTTCTCTTTCTTACGGTTACATTACCTAGCAATAATCCTGTATGCTTTTTTAAATATTTCTTAAAATTCTTCACCCGTCATTTTTATGTGCCCAAAGTTAGGCTAATTTTCAAAAATTTCATTCCAATGTTCCGGAGGTGGTTAAGTATGGCACAAATAGAACAATTACCGGACTACAAGGCAATGTTTTTAGATTCTACTAAAATGCTGTTTTTAGCTTCAAAAAATTATTTCTTCGGAGGTCTCGATTTTCGGCAAAGTCATGAAACACGCAACTGCAGCAAACACATGAAAGCTCTTGAAATTTCTGCGAATTGAAACTTGATTGCTAATAAACAATAATTATGCAACATAACCAAGTTTAGTTTGTTTTGAAAAATCAGCTTTGGGAATTTTCGGTAACTTTACGAGATAGACGTAGTAAAAAAAACCGCGGTTTTTCTTAAGTAAATAATTATAACGGACTTGATAAACGTGACCCGTGTAATCTAAAGTAAACACAATGTAGCCAAAGATTTGTTCTACGTAACATGTACTAGCGCTCTTCGGAAACATCAGTATAAAAACTTTTAAAATTCAGGAAAGATTTGGCGTTAGTGCTGAACTGCTTAAAAAGCCATGGCGATAATATTGCAAAGACAGGGTAGATCAGAGAGCAAATATAGCAGTAAGAAAGAGCATGAAAATTTGAATTAAATGATACCTGGATCATCTATGAATTGGTGTTCTTTGGGTTTTAGTGAGCGATGAAGAAACCGACAAAACTTTCGGGACAATCTAATAGATTAGTGTGAGCCCTTCCATATAAACGTTGATTATCAGGCATATTTTTGCTAAAGTATTTTTGCAAAGGCTCGCTTCCTTTACTTCAGTCCCATAATCTCTGCATTATTTCTCGTTCTCAAGAAGCGATTGTTATCTTGGGCCATAAGTGAAGAAATTATGAGAAGTGTCATATGTGAAGAGGTAATGAGAGCTGGTGATAAAATCGAAAGATGGTCCGAAAGACACAAAACAAGATAAACCTATGCAAGCAAAATCGTGTAAGCGCTTCATGGATTTACTTTAGAAATATTTTTCGACAGAAATTCAATAGGCAATCGAAATGTGTAGAGCTCTTGGCATGCCGATGTGAATGAAATGATACTCTTACGAAATGACTAGCTAATAAGTCCACGATTTGAGAATTTGTCATTTCGCTGATCTAACTGTAAGATATAGAAGAGAGAGTTGCCATGTTAGAATGAAGTTATTCTAAAGAAGATACTACAGATGACCGGACGTGACGAAGCCAAACAGCTAAAAATTGTTGCGCACAAAAGGCTAGCATTCGTTTCACGGTGAAAAAGCACACGGGGAGAGCCGACACTGACAAATGTGAGTCAGCGTAAAGATAAACAAATGCTCGAAGGACACGTATAGATGCGCACTTCACCATTTCCACTTTTTCGATGACAATGACGAGTGGAACTGTACACCAAAGACAAGTCGAAAAATTGTATAAATTTTCTGTCGATCCACTATACTGTGTAGTGGAAGAAAACTCAACGTATGCTTTTTTGAAATGTAAAGCATTCTTTAAGAAAATCAGGCTTTATAAATTGTTCTATCCGCCGTTGAACTATTCGGAGCGGTTTGGCCAGTTGCGATCCCAGGTCCAGAAATCAATGTCGGTTTTGCAATGTTTCAGTTTAAGATCCATAAGTGCATTGGAAAAAAAATTTCAAGATGCGGTAAAAACTTCTGCAAATCAAAGATTAACTATCCAATGCTTATTCACATGTTCTACACAGTAGTTCCAAAAGGAGGTAGTGTAGGCCGAAAAACATTTTTCGAAGCAACGTCCTCTTTGGCATATCGTAAATCCATTCAGAAAAAGTGTCTAGCAACTCTTAGCCCTTGTAGCCACAAGCCAGTACTACTTAGCCGCTAAGCATTTTCTGCCCCACAAATTGTTAAAATAATTTCAGAAACCTTTTTTTGAGGGGACATAACTTGCTGTCAAAGGTACTAGAGTAGCAAGCATTGCTCATTGTGTAGCCAAAGGTCGGTTGAAAGAACAGAGTGCAGTTCGAATCTTACGATTTTTTCTAGAAATATTGCAAGAACTGCATTTCACAATTAGAAAAGGCAAAGAAATTTAGATTCTTCAATTTTTTTTCTCCTTCAGAAAACGGAGAAAGCGTGCCACTTTTCTATCATTAGTTGTAGCAGGTCCTGTCTAACTGTGAAACAGTGCTACCGCTTTCTATTTTTTTTGTACAGCATAGAGATCCAACCGATCGCCAAATTCAAGCCGCAACTACTCAGCATTAGATTTTTTTAATATCTAATCTTGGTAAGAAAACGCTGTAGCACAAAAACTCGCGATCAACAAGCATATTTTTGTAGAACGATTCCATTCACTTTTAATGGATGTAGAGGAGTGTGAAAGAAAATTTCGAGTTCTATAATCTTTTTTTTCTTTTTTTTTTGAAGGCATAAGACTACGGTTGAACAAAAGAAAGTGGGTATAAATTTTACAAATTTACAGAAGGAATGGTTCCACATTGATAATGAGCGGATAAAAGGAGAAAAGACTCTCTTGCGAAGGATCAGATAAACAGCATTACGTACGCTAAAAGAACGCTATAAATTCCATTAGAATTGATTATATTAATTCCCTATTACTTCCCGAACTGATATTCTCGGAAATACTCGGAGGGAAATACTCGGAAATGCAACATTTCTTGACTCTGCTAACAAGATTGACTATCTCAGCTAACTCCAATGTCTCCTTATAGGCACTTGAAAAGACCAAAGCTGAACTTACACTTTTTCTTGACTTCAATGCCTTTGCTAATCCAAATTTATACGTGTTACACTCAAGCTGTGCTGCCAAAGAAACGAAAGGAAGAAAAAACAAGAAATTCATGATAAATCAGAAACATGTATCCTATTTTTCAGTCACAGATATTTGACATAATGCTTAAAATTTCGCTGATTCAATCCTTCAAAAAATAAACTGTAACTTTGACCGCCGATTTCATCTTTATGGAGTGTCTCAAGAATTTCTAGTTCACAGTTTCTTCACTTAGCGAGTTGGGATCACAGAACACAAACCACAAATGGTACAGCTTTATTACCTACTAGAAATCTCCACACGTATCAATCAGAAAATATCACAGAATTCCAATTTGTACTATTCAGTCTTTGGCTGAAGTTGTGTATTACGCTCAACCCGTTCTCGTGGCGCCCGATCCTTCCAATTCCTCCCTTTGTAGTGTGGATGTGGATAGCTCCTTGGTGGACCTCTACCTCTTGTGAACTTTTCACCGCTCTTTGTCTCCGAATGACTTTGATCCTCAGAACTGATGGGCTCCGCATTGGGAGCAGAGGGCTCTTGTGTAACTGGAAAGCTATTTCTGATCATTTTCTCATTTCTATGCGTCTCGGCGCGACTCTGACCCTCAGCAGAGAAAGACACTCCTTGAAGAAGGCCACGTTCTTGCCGAAATGGCTTATCATTGAAATCTCTCCTATGTGTAGGGCGATATTCACGGTAACCCCTCTCATGTTGTCTCCAACCATAAGAGCGCCCTCCTCGACCGCGCCCGCGTCGATGATGTTCAGGCTCAGGTTTTGTAGGGACCGTCGTTGTGGGAATTGTGTTTTCAAATCCAGGAGGCACATCCAAATCCGATCTGCAAAAGAAATCCTTATTACATGTCTCTTTCAAGCGAATTAAGCGCACATTAATGGCTGCGTACTGGATTCCAAGCCAACGACTGCAGGACCTTCCACGAGCAAATTGTCCATTTCGTTGGCAAGTACCACTACCTAAGAATGACAAAACAGTATCACTTCCAAGAACTAACTGTTAGGATGCAGCCAGACTAAAACACTTTGGCTGCATTCCAACAGAGCAGTGGAGATTTTGCAAACAACCAGTATCACCGCATGTGAAAGCAGGCACAAAACAGAAAGCATAAATTCTCATAAAAGTTAGATAGTGACAGGCGCTCATACACATTGCCCTAGGGCTTCATGCATCGCATCAGGCAAGAAAAGATGAGTTCAACCGTTGGAGGGTATTTTCTCAATGTGTACAAAAAGCTGACTTTCGATAAAGAAAAATGCGCTCATTCTTGCTCCCAGTTTTTGCTGAGATGTTGTAGCACAATGCGAATTGTTTCATCATAAAATTCGAAACCAGGGAGATAGCATTCTACTAAATACACAAGCAAAATGTAAGCAAAAAAAACTCAGTTCACAATCAATGGCATGTTTGTGATATTTGGGTGTGTCAACGTTACTTATGCTGATGATCGTAGCGAAAAACGATGCTAATCATATCTGCTATAACTATAAAAAGAAGACACATGGAGTATACAGACTTACAGTGTTTTCGGTCACAAGATTTCTCTTCCGTTCCTCCTCCAAGTCAATTATGCCACCCTTTTCTTTCTGCCGTTCGTAGATTTCCATCAAGGACGCTTGCTGCTCACGCCACCTAGAAGATGCAGCATACACTGGAAAGAAATATTTCAGAGCATTTTGAAAAAAAACTAACTTTTGCCAATCAAAATCAAAGTCCGTCTTATTTTCTAAACTAGATCCCGTATTATTTTCATTCTTGCTGTTAAAATGTTTTCCTTTCCGCTTGTTTGATGTAGGAGACTCGAGAATGGGCTCGACCTCGTTCTCAACAACCTCACGACAAACTGGGCAACGAAGTGACTGAGATTGAGAACATGTCACTTACTGCGACTGATGACAACATAACTTACCCGGTCGATGTCATTACACATTTTGAAATCTCTTGCAATCAGTTTTTCACCCAGCTGCTTCCGCGTGTATTCAACATGTTTTTCAAAGCAGTCCGTGTGAGTGTAGTGGTCGCAAGGTGTCACTGAGACACTTGCAACCGGCATGGGGCAGAGGCAGATAGGACAAAGTAGCGACGATGAGTGCTGATGCTCGAGAATGAAGTCAGCGCAGTACTAAAAAGTATTAGTAAAAGTACTATTACTATGCAACAGTGAGAGCACTTCTACAATTTGCAAACCTGCAATACGTCGAAAATTATAGGCATTCCAACATTTTCATTGAGGCGTCGCTGAATATCGTCGATCAACTGTTGATGCGACTCTTCGGAAAGTCCCCGAGGATTGAGAAGATGCACTTTCGGCGATACATCTGGATACTGCAATTTTTACTTAGCAAAACATTGAGAATCGTGGCTAAACATGCGCTGCTGAAAAACGCTAATTTTTCGATATAAGAAAGAAACACAGCAACGATACTTCGAGGCATGAATAAAAGCATTTTGAATGGTTATTTCATCGAAGACCCCACTTCAAGGATCTGGAACCTTTCATGACCTATTCAACAAGATTCTGAATGCAAACGTACAAAAAATTCACAAAATAGGAAATCCTCCGAAATAAGGCAGTATTCTCAACACTATTTCTCAAGCTCAGTGGTAAAAAACCTCATCATATCGAGTATCAACTTATTATTAGAAGGAATGTCCCATTCTCGAGTTACGCGGTACCAATAGTGTAATTATAAAACACTAACTTTTGGACCCAGTTCGAACTCCACAACAATCGAAGCCGACGAAACGCCTCCCTCATCATTAGGTCGAACTTTTCTACGCACTATGGTCACGCATCGATCATGGCTGGAAAAAGCAAAGGCATCACGTACCCATGCAGCTGCAAAATTGCTTGACTCACTCTGTTTCAACACTAATTTCATCTCCAAAGATTGACTGCAACGCCTCGATTTCTACCTCTGCCTCCATCTGTGCAAAAAAAATGAAACTTACGAAGAACTTTTTGATTAGCAAATCGTGCAGTAAGCAGGAATATGACTTCCTACAACTTCAGAAAGAAACATTACATATAGCATTTTATTGTTACTAGAACGAAACAATTCTAACATAACAACTGGTACACGATAACTACGATCATAGGAAAAATGGATACATGTATTTTGAGAGGAGTGGGAGACCATAAGAATCAAAGTGTACAAAAAAATAGAGGAACCACGTACCTATTAGCGATATTCCATTCACTCGCTATTCAGAGTCGTTGCGGCAACTTTTTTTAACGTCAAACAAAAAAAAAAGTAAAATTAACAAACAAACCTTCTTTTCCATACGTTTCACAACAGATTTGCTTGGGCAAATGTAGATCTCCAGCCTCCTCGAAGACTATTAGTTCACCAAACTCACCTCATAACATGCACTCCGTTCAATCGTTCTGTAGTCCGCAGACAGCAGTCATGGAAGAGCGTAGCAAAAATGGCATTATCAAATAAGACTCACCTTTTTATTGTCCATCCTTAGCCAAGCATTATTGAGGTAGAGCGTAAATGCAAACTTACCAGAGCTAACGGATAATAGATGAAGATAATTTGGGAACGATCAGTCAAAAAATGAAACAAAGGAAAACCAAACACAGCCAAATAATTGATCATGGAGAATTGGAATTAAAAGGAATGGAGAAGTGCATAGAGTGAAGAACTATGAATACAGTTCATCTTGAAGAGAGTAAGAATGTGATTATCTACTTCATCCCAAATCTTTCGAGTCTTGCTTTCTTTTTGGCTTCCATTTCTTTCTAAAAAATTAAAATTATGACGCGTTCGATTGTCCATACTAAAAAATTTACATCGTCGATGGGAGCCGCCGTAGTCAGTCCAAAACGTTGAGCTCGCATTTGGAGTTTTTCCTAAGAGAAATATTTCTTGGTGCAATAAACTTATTAACGTGAACACTCACTTTGGTTGGAACGGAACTATGAAGCGCTTTGCCATTTTCGTTGACAGGTAGACCGAATCTGTAGGAAAATTGTCATTGAAGCGGGTACGATGAAAGATATGAAACCTACCGCTGAGCCCTGCTCAATAGCTTCTTTTTAGCTTCTTCATCCAGAGGAGAGATACTTTTGGCAGGAGCAGGCGGGCTTGTCTTGGTGTTTAAGCCGAACCTTTAAGAAGAAAGAAGAGTACCATCAAGTTATTCAAAATCAAAGCAACTTACTTTTCAGCCCGCTTGGCTTTAAGGTCCTTGTCATTGGCAGGGGCAGAAATGCCAAATCTGAATATCGCACATAAACCAAAAGGAGGAGAAACAGGACGATCAACTTCTAACGTACCTTTCAGCTCTTTTAGCTTTGACTGCAGGATCGGTGACACCAACAGGCAAACCAAAGCGCTGCGCGCGCTTCAGTTTGGCATCGAGTGCAAGCGGATCGTTGTTAGCAGCTGGAGGCGATGTTGAAGTAGTCTGAAAAAAAAAATTTTTTTTGGATTTTGCTCCCAATCTCCGAAATTAAGTTACCTTTTCTGGTTCCGAAGGAGGCGCGCTTGAGGGTTTCGACTTAGGTTCTTCGGGCTCCTTGGTCTTGGTTGATTCCGATTCATCATCTAATAGCTTTTCAGGCAATACGTCGTTAAGAACATCATCATTTAGCAGCTCTTCTGTAACACAAACATAATCCATGATCTAAAGGAATGAGAACAAGATTTGTGCGACGCTCACCATCAGGAGTTGATAAGGGATCGCCAAAAGCACCATCTTCGCTGTGGTTCAAGATAGCATCTTCTTCAGCCTAAGCAGCCAATTGATAGAGCGGAAAAAGAAGTTTTTGACATATCAGACTTTTGACATATCGCTTATGCAAAAAACGACAATCAGTGACACATTTGTTACTTTGACTTCACAAGTAGATGCATTTTTCTTCATCAAATGATCAATCCTACCGTTGTGCCTCGCGCAACAATCACTCTCCTGCAATGTTCTCTAGGCGAGCATTCTAGAATGTGCTTCTTCAGTGTACTGGGAATGGTCGCGTTTAGAAGAAGAGTAAGTGCGTAGGACACTCCCGAAATCAGGATACGTATGCAAGTCATGAACGGCAAGGCAAAATAGGAGTGGGGGAAGGATGGAGCCCCGAATCCCATGGAGGATATTCTTATGATTGGCCAGCAAGTTATTACCAGTGTCAAGCAAGAAGTGTGGCCAGGATCGCTAGATACGACCCTCCCCCCCCCCCTAAACTAATGTATACCTACGATAGGCATTTGAAGTCCCTGCCAAGCACAAAGGATAGGGCCTCTTTATCATGCTACGGTAGGTATACGATGACGAAACAAGATTCATGTGCTTTATTTCGCATGATGGGTTATCTGGCAGACTGCTTCCGAATAACGTGTTATCACTATCATCAGTATTATTCAACTGCGATCCTCTTCCCATTTTGACTCCTCAATACGATCCCCTAGGTGTGGCGGGCACACCCCACGCTTGACCCTGGTTAACCTCAAGCTCGCTGTTTCTATCGCTGCTTTTGCTGGTAAGTAAACACCGTCAAAAAAAAAGATGAGCATGTCCTTTTGCGAGATTAATGTTTGCACAGCATGTCGTCGCATTCAGAAACTTCCAAACGGGAACTGTTCATGCTACACAATGGAAACGAACTGACCTTTTGCAGCAATTTGATCAATTCGCTCTTCTTTGCTTTCGCGTCCGGAGTGACGCCACGCTTGGCTAGCTCTTCTTTAAGATGAGCAATCTGCAAAAAAAGATTGTTCAGAGAGTTTTTACGGGAAAATAAACTCACAGTCATCTTCTGATAATCGGCTTCTGAATTCATTTTTTTGCTGATTACGGTTCCTGTCCAACTCTAAGAACGGCAGATAAAGGTGGGAGATTCGTTTATTGGCAAGTGACTGCAATTATGAATCATGGACGTGAACAGGATGCACAGCACAGAGCAAAGAAAACGACGCTCAAAAAGACCATGAACAAGCAGAGTATTGATAAAAGAATAAAGATGAGCGGAAATAAAAAAACCAAGAAGAAGAAGGAAGTTCTGGAACAAACGAAAATGGCAAAGTGACAGCGCGTCGCAGAAAATAAATTGTGAGGCGTACTATCACAGGCACTGCGCGTGACTACACAACACTTGCAGCGTTACGGCAGGTTTTCCAATCTGGCAGGTAATCCGTCTGTGCACTCTCTAACGGTGAGCGTTGTTCACTTATTGGTTGTTTAGGGAACCGTAGTAAATGTTTGTGCATCGTTTTTGAAAAATTAAGCTGTAATAGCAGGTTGTCATAGTTCCAACAGTTTTTTCTGAACTGTCCAGTCGAAAAGGATCAAGTGCTTCTCTCCAATGTTGGGTCACACTTTATGTGCACAATTCATAGTTACTTTCTTCTCGAAAGGAAGCACATGAGTGTCACTGTCTGCAGAATAGGTGGGTCGTGCACTTGCGGTAAGTACAACCCTTGCGCGAGGAAGTGTCAACAACATCTGCGCGTAAAAAAATGAACGTAGAGCGCACGGTTTCAGGCTTACGCGCAAGTGTTGCCGGATCCAAGGGCATTGTATAAGGTAGCAGAACTAACCTACTAGGCTATATGATAGCGTCACTTCGAAAACCTAGTGCGAGTTCTGAGTGCGACTGCACAGGACTCGCACATTGCGCGTGAAATCCCGTATTTCAGACGTTTGCGTACCTATCCTTCAGAAGATTACTAGATGCTGGGTGTGTATACTTTTTAGAACCAATTGGTGGAATTCTACTTTGAGTTTTTAGGGCAGACTCCAAGAATCTCAAAAAATTCTCAATGCATCTTCATGGCCAACATTCAGGATTTAATGCGCATAGATATAAAAGAAATGGGCTTCGCCGCTATCGGGTACAAATCTGAACTCAGCTGAGATTTGCCCAGGGATGCTAGGTTTATCTTGCTGGTCATCTCAGCTTGGTTGTCTTCCCTTGCAAGTGCAGGTTCCTTTCGTTGGTCGCGTCTTTGTGAAGCGTTTTTTGTACATCCAATAGGTATCTAATTTGTAATAATTTACAATACTCGCTCTTGTTTTCTATGCAGAAGCCATTATTTTTTCACTGCACAAACTATTTTCAGGTCGATATGGGTATTAGATGACAGTCGGTAAATGTTACGAAATCTAAGATTTTGCCATGATACGTTGGAAATCTGTGAAAAACAGCCTACTCTTCGGGGGAATTTGTCTCTGCCTGCTTTTACTCAATAAAAGCCTGATTGAAGAGTATGAAGACAAGGATAGCCATCAGTTCAAGAGCGAGAATTCGAAGACAGTCGCAAACGATGATTTGCCTGCTCTTCAAAGCGGATGTGACCCCGCTATTGTTGACGAACTGGAACGGTTGAGGAGGTCGAACAAAAAGGCACGATGTATCGCGAACAATGGCAGAGAAATGACTTGTATGCGCGATGAGCACGAATTCTACTTCCCTTTCTCATTCATCAAAAAGCAGTACGATGTCTCCGGAAGATTATCTAAGGGTGAGTCATGTGATGTTCGGCTCTTTTTTTGTTTTGGTGAAAAGATTTCTTCGTCGTTTGATTTGCTCAATGTTAAAGCAGTAACTGTATCACGCTTCGTTTCTCAAAATTTGGATTTGCCCTGACGCACGGACTGGTCGTCATTGCACACTTCTGCATCTCTTCTTGTCCTATTGCGTTTTTGAACCCTCTGCGTAGATTTCACGTCGTCTGCAATGGGTCCATCTGTCTGTGCTACCTCCGGGGTATCACACACGAATATTTTATAGGAATCGGTGATCAAAAATCGTTCTACAACAAAGCTGTACAAAATTATAATTTATTCGCCTGAAAAATTATGTATCAAATTAGCGTGCTAGTTCGAAATCAGCTTGTAGGTTAAGATTTCGCGTAACTTCTGAACTTCACAAATAATGCTTGATTTTCACTTCTTTCTGTAGAAATCGCTTCAATTCCAGACGGATCTCGTTTCGAGCTGTTCACTTCATACTCGAGAATACGAGTGCCAGAAGGGGATTCATACGATCCAGCGGGACCATTTGGACACTTTGCCACGTACAGCGTTGAAACCAGGGAGCGAGTACGATGTATCAGTGCAGAGACAGGTAGGTTTGTGTCTGAAAAGCACTTTTCGTATCATCTATAGTGCTTTAAAGCTTTGCATTTTCTGGGTATTGGTAGTTGGCTTGAAGCTGGAATTCAACCAGTTGTTCTGTGTTTTTGACCTTGCTAGCGCAACGTTTAGGCGTGCCAATGTCTACTCAGTGGGATCCAAATCCGTATTACTACCCTATCCAGATTGCCCAGTATGGACTTCAACATTACAGCAGAATGATGGGTGAGTTTGTGCATATATCTCACCATCGTTTTTGAAGGAATATCTTACAGTCAATAAAACTGACAGTGAAATTGTGCTGAAAGGAATGGAGAGGGCTGAGTGGAAAGGTTCGGCTGCTTTTGATGAATCCAGTGAACGAGTGTTCTACCATGATGAGGAAAAGGGCGATGTGGTCAATATAACTGCTAGCGGTTGGTTTCTCAAAATAGTCTTACATTCATATTGTTTCAGTTTATAAGTTCATTTGTATTGTACCTTAGGCGATCTACGAAATGCCGGTTGTTACGTGTTTCTGAATCCAACGCCACGCCTTCATGTGGTATCCTTCGATTGGCTGCCTATTGAAAACGCTTCTTTCACCATTTTGGTGAAAGTCATCGAGTCGGATTTGCTCGTCCTGCTTAACTACGTTGCACAGCATGATCCTCGATGTGTGTGGAATGATACCGTATCATTCGCGGGTGCTGATCAGGTTTGCAACATTCGATGTCGTTACCAGTTTGAAAGTAATTGCTGCAGGTTTCCTTTTCTTATGCTCTTGGTGATCTCAGTAAACAATGGCATTCCATAACTAGAGATGCTTTGGTGGATGCATCACGAGCACTTTCGAGCATGAATATAAGTAGGAAGAAGGAGGGAAATGTTATTTTGCATCCAGGTAACGATTTCGCTGCTTTGTCTGATTGTTTTATTTACCGAAACTTATTATACTATCTAAGAGTGAGCAAAATTTTTATTTTGAAAATAAAATTAACAAGATTTTCCATTTTTTTCCTGTGAAATCGAACAAGATTGTTTGACAGACTTCATCGTTCTGCGAGCTAAATTGGCTGAAGAACGCCAGGTGGCTTAAGGCTGTGACGTTATTCGTGATGATCGCCGGTCTGGCTCATAAAATTGGTGAATGAATATTCAATCAATTTCAGGTGAGCTAAAACTGGTCTCAATAGGATTCCGCGGCTCGGTGGTAGTGCGGCAGAGGATTGAACAGTCTCAGAATGCGCATCGGAAGTCATTTTTGACAGCAGCGGATTGGCTTGTATCGAATCAAGATGAAAATGTAAGTTCTGCTGATTTGATTGGTTGAGAGGTCAAATTGAGAGCGACAGGGTGGCTGGCCAGTTCCAGTCGAACGCGCTATCGCCGACCGGCGGCTAGTGCTTCCAGCTGGTTGGTATTCCGCAATGGCTCAGGTGCGTCATTTTCTACGAATACTATCTTGTGAATTTTATAAATTTAGGGGCATGGCTTATCTTTGCTTACTCGCGCCTATACTGCAACACATAACAACTCTTACCTGGCCGCTGCCAGCAAAGCGCTTCATCTTTTTGAACTGGTAGGTTAAGTTCATGTTTTTATTTCGTGCAAGTTTTCTTGATTTCTAGAAAGCTGGAGAAAGAGGGGTTCGAAATGAGTTGTTCGGTCATGTTTGGTTTGAAGAGTATCCAACATCTCCAGGCAGTTTTGTACTGAATGGATTTATGTACTCCTTAATTGGCTTGTTCGATCTTAGCTCTGTGAGCATCAGAGGGGAAGGTAAGTACGCTAGAATTTTGCGAAATCGCAGTCTTTGTAAAACAAAAAAACAGCAACTACCTACCCTCTTCTCGCAGAGCATTTTGACAGTATGGTAGGAGACATGGGTAGTTGTAGTACTCTCTGACTTTCTTGTCTCTAATCGGCAAAACTGGATTTTTGCTTTTCTTGTATATCTTATCTTAACCTGCTCAGTAGCTGACGAAGTGCGCCTCGGAACTGAACGAGCATCCATACTTTTCTCCTCTGGCCTGGATTCTCTTCGGGCTCTCTTACCTTTATATGACACTGGAAGCGGATCAATCTACGATTTGCGACACATAGGTCTACATACAGCACCCAATCTTGCTAGGTATACAAATATCAGGTTTTTTCATATTTCCTCATTATCCATGTTACTATCTGCATTCACAGATGGGATTACCATGCGGTGCATGTTTATCTGCTGAAGTGGCTCGTACAAATTACCGGTGATAAAACCTTAGATGAAACCGCGGACAGATTTATTGCTTACTCATGGGGTAAAAAAGCTAAACACAACTGACAGGTACTACACTGCAACGACTGTGATTATAATATTATAATTTTGTGTAATCATTGGGCCAGTATGGTCGTTTGTGATATCTGCTCAACTTCTCATGCAATTACACGAATAGCATATTTCTTGACTTTCTTTTAGATTAGTCATCGCTTAGTGCATTCACCTTTGCTCTTTGTCATGAATCTTGTTTCAGATCTGCATGATCACTGTAGCACTGGACTCTGTCAAGATTCTGTAAACATCTTTTTTTCAACCTGCTATCTAACAAGTTTGCTGAAGCTTTTTTTTTACGAATTCAGCGCGTTAGAGCATTTTGGACCGCTTGCCAACATTTGAAGTAGACGAAAACGTCGCAGCTTGTTGTTGGCGAACTACTCTTCCACTCCACGGTCATTTTTGTAGACTTGCAGAGCTGTTGTGGAAAGGTTCAAGTTCAGGCACTATCTCATCATCTTGGCACAGTACAGTTCATCTCCAGTGCATGCTTGTTGAATAACCCAGCATTCCTACTTACTATTTGATGAAGATGCATCAATTTTTTACCGAATCTGCAACGAATTTTGTAGAATCTGAGGTGATAAACTACTAACAACTAACTTTCTTTCATGACCAGTCTCATATCTCGTTTCCATGATGTTTTCTTCGGTGCTGTTTTGAATCTGTTGCGTGGAAATTTCATGAATAAATAACATAGTCTTTGATACCTGTTTTGTTGAAAAGTCTAAATTACTTGCATCATGAAGTTCCTTCTACATGTCAGACGAAGCTACTTTGCTAACTGTAAGAGTTACAGAAAGTGAGATGTACAGTTATAGATGTCAGAAAACATGAGAACCTGGCGTTGTCACTGAAGATGTATTTAGACCTAGCTAATTGAAGATACATTGTTGCAGTTTGCTTCTCAGAAAGGTTGTGGTTTCTTAGAAGTACAAGGAAATTTTTACAAAAACCAAAAGTGTTCGAAATAAAATATTTTTCATAGATTCGTGTATCCATCATCGGCTCCCAGATCCATGTGGAGGCAGGTTGCGGACAGTCCCTAATTATAAGGATAAAGTTTATGAGAGAGTACAAAAAACAAGACTATAACGTGGAGGTACAAGTTTATCCTCATAATCAAGGAAAGTTGGCAACTCGCCTCCACATGGAGTGTCTGTTTGCTGAAATAGGATATGCATTGTTTTGACTATTAATCATGTGCAACCATATAAGAATAAATTCCGTGATGAGAAAGTTCCATCATGAAATGTTGGATGCCTTGGCTTTGCCTTCCATACATTAATCGTCCATCTTGTCGATTCGCTTGAGATCGAGATCGTGTCACCTCGAATAGCCATCCTACGACTGCAGCCTCCACGAAGACCATCAGCATCATCAACTGCTACTCCTCAACATCAGCAACTGACAAATTGAATACTAGATGCATTTTACGAAAATGTGCGGGAGTTTGTTTGCAACGTCCTTTCCTTCCTGCACCGTAAGCTGTGCATCACGACGCAGAATTGACGTCTCTGTACTAACGCTGACAGTATGGCGTTAGTCTCCACGTTTCAGAGGCTTTCGTAGTCAACGTCGACGAAGTTAGGACGAGAGGCAGTCGGTACTTCCAAAAGACTTCGACGACCCTCGAAAACGTCTGGATGATGTGGTTCATGCCGCTGAATCCTTTGCGAAAGCCAAATTGTTCTTGCGGTTGGGCTTCATCCACTGTCCTAGATATGCGAGCAAGGATAATATTCGTGAAAAGCTTGTACGGGCACTTAGCAGGCATATTGGACGGTAGTTCCAAAGATCCTCCCGTTTACCCTTTTTGAAAAAGTGCGATTTTCTAAGTTCGCCACTGGTCGAAAATCCTTTCCGTCTGATAAGCGGCACGAAAATCTCGTGAGCTCAGACAATCCAAAGGCTATAGTGAGGCGGCGATAAACAGCGGTTTAGTGAGCGGGCAGCGAATTAGGGTAAATTCGAAATTTTGTATCGAATAATAAATATCGAATAAATTCGAATCGGGAGCCGAATTTCGAATAGATATTTGAATGATTTATCGAATATCTGGAGCAACCATATCCAAAACTTGCTGACTTATTTGACGAAGCCGGTCCATTCATAATCAGCACCCTCATATCCCCTATACCAACTCCTAGCTCAAGATTTTCCAGAAATCAGTCAATTCGATAAAATAGGTTTATTTTCTAATCAGTAACTTCATTTGCCCATCTGTACCGACTCCCAGCCTGTACTCAAAGTCTCCAAAATCGATAATTCGATAAAAGCATTAAAGTAAATTTTTATCCATAATCAGTCCTCATGTACCCACCAGTACCAACTCCCAGCCTAGTCCCAAAGTCTCCAAAATTGAAAAAACACTGAAGTAAATTTTTATCCATGATCAGCAGTCCCGCCTACCCCCTTGTACCAACTCCCAGCCCCGTAGCTCAAAATTTTCCAAAAATTGACAGAAGCAATAAACTAAACTTTTATCTCACTTATCCCCCCCCCCGTACCAACTTCCAGCCCCATAGCTATTATTAAAAATCGATAAATTTGGTCGGTTGTCAACAGTCTATACATCAGCAAAACGTGATATTTTACTTCCCATTATCTACTAAACAAAACATCCTTGCAAAGTGATATAGCTGCGAAATCCAGCAACCGCCCCTCCACTACAGCTGCGATGTCCGATGTTATACTCATAATAAACCAATTAGCGAAAAATTTCTAAGGTAAAGAATAGAGGCAATTGTGCAACATGAGTTTTACAAGCAAGAGCCACGCAATGCAAAGGAAGAGAAACCGGTGTGTCAACACCCTTCCAGTATATGAATTCGGAACAGCTTGAATTTGATAGCTGTTTATTTGCTGATTGGTGCCAGTAGCAGTGCGAACTGTCTCATTGATCGCCACACCTATTTTTTTTACTTCGCAAGCAGTCGGAGGAGTGCGACTTTCCATACATTTCAAAGGTTATTTCGGTTGCAAAAAGATGCATTACCGAATTTGCTGGAGAAAATTTGCAGACGACGCGAGCTTGATACTCAGCAGTTAGCTCTGCAACAAACTCGAGTATTCTAATTATGAAGTTCATTCGAATACGAATTCGAATAAAACATTCAAATGAACATTCGAATAAGATCTATTCGAAACCCTTTTTTGATCATTCGAGTTTTCGAATTTTACTCGAAACCCCATTTTCTCAGTTATTCGAGTTTCGAATATTATTCGAAAATGGAAAACTCCGAATATCGAATTTCGGAGGTGAATATATTCAGGTGTTTCATTCGAATGATCGAATTTCTATTCGATTCGGACTTAAGTATAGCGGCGATACTGCGAAAGTGGCAGTGAGCGGGCAGCTATAATCATTCAAGAGTCAGAAAATAGCTGCAGCGCATTAGATACTTACTTACTTAGATGCTTAGATGGCCCGCCTTCACGTGGCGTGCGGGCCCCAGCACAAGAGTTTCCATGGGTCCCTGTCCCTCGCTTCAGACATCCACGATCTTCTTCGTTGGCGTCGTTGGCTGCGTCCACGAGTTCCAGGTGCAAAATCTTGCCCAGCTGATTTCTCAGCTGGTCAATCCGTTAACCGAACACGTCTGCCCACCTTGTCGGTGGTCTTCCTCGGGGACGTTTGGCTTCGAATCCATCCGAATGTTCTTAGTGTCTATCTGTCGTCTCTTCTTCCCATGATGTGACCGGCCCATCGGTGTTTCGCTTTCGCCATGTATTCCGCTGGGTCACGAAGACGGGACATTCTTCTCATATCCGTACTGCGAAGTCCGACTAGATGTTGCTTTCGTCGGGTCATCTTCAAAAAGCTGCGCTCGTGCGCTCTATAGGTGGTTCGTAAAGCTTTCGACGTGGCTGCAGTGTCGGCCCATTGCTTGCCCCTGCAGCGCATTCATTGCTACAAAAGCCAGTAGCCAATAGCCAGAAGGCGGCAACACCGCTAGGCTGGCAGCGGCCGGGAAACGATGGAGATGCGAGTGCACGATTGCAGGAGCGGAGCGCATGAATGCTATGAGAAGGCGTCCTTAATTCGTAGCGCTGTCTTGTGGCTGCCAACTGGAAGCCATATCGTTGCCCTCTCGAGACCCTGTTGATCGCACTAGAAAAGTTAGATGTGCAGGCAAGCAAGATTGGCAATTTAAACTTGCATCACTTTTGGTTTCATGGCTGCCTCGTCTTTGTTTTTAATGTACAGTGACCGCCAAAAAGTTGCGGACAAGCCTCCCTCCCTTTTTCATCGCTCTTTTTCAGAGGGAAAACAAGGATGAAAAAATGTAATAATTGCATGAGATGATAGAGCTCTTCAAGATCTACAATCTACACTTTGAGTTTTTTGAGAAACATGTATTCTATTTTAAGAATCTTTTTCTAAAAAAAGTCCGAAAATGGCCGCGTCACAATGTCGCGGACAATAATTCTTCGAACGTAAAAATTTTCTTTTGAGTCCTATTTCAAAGCGGAAACACAAGTTATCCAAAGGGTAAGCATACTACCATACAGAGCTCGTCAAGAACTACACACAGGTTATGGTTGCTTCCCCAAAAAGCGCAAGCTTGAGTTTTATTTTGCTTTTTTCAAAAAACAACTTCCAATTTTTATCAAGCCAAATTTTCTCACACGGAAACCTGTTCAAGACATCCAACAAAGCCGTCTGGATAAAATAGATGCTCTTTGCCATCCTCTATGCATCGGACGTGTGCTGATGAGTTTCTTGGCTGAAAATGGTCCTTGGCAGTGTTTGCACATGACCCCACCTGCACCTCACCACTGACTTGTACCGCTTTGCAGGCTTGTAACTCGGCCTGCAGTCAATTTTTGAGCCTGTAATTAGGCTCATTCGAAAGAACGAGACTTCCTCTACACGACGGTATGCAAATAAGTTCAGCTTGACCAATCCCAGAGATTTGACGGATGGGGTGGTAGAGGGCAGCTCAGTTGTAGGCTAAGCACTTTTCAGCTAAAGTTGAAGAGAGCTCCTTTCGCTACCAATTTCGTCCTGGAAGTTCAAAACTGTAAATTTTCTCGTAATAGATCCATTTCGAAGCTCTAAGACTGTCCTGGTGTTCGTAAGAGCCCTCACTCCAATCACCTCTAAGGGCACTGCAGTTCGAGGAATTTCAGAGATTTGGCGGATGGGGTGAAAAAGTGCACTGCAGGGCAGTGTGCTATTTCACCCCATCCGCCAAATCTCTGAAATTTCTCAAACTCAACTCGTTTGCACATCATCGTGTCCAAGAAGTC